GGGGGGGCGAGGGGGGGCTCGCTGTCTGGATACCACTTGAGAATGAGAAGAAAACTAAAGAATTAACTAATTTCCATAGTAAGTCTAGCCTCCATAAATGAGAAAATGAAAAAAAGAAACCCCAAAGGATTAATTGTAGTAACATATTACTGTCAATGTGATTTGAGCTGTTCACTTTCATTTGTCCTTGTGTCCCTAAAATCCCAAGTTCAAGTTCTGTCCCTGCCAGAGCTTTTCACTCCTTGTCCTGAGATGCCAATGCTGCTGCTTCCTATGTACAGTGAGTGTTACCCTGGCACAGGAAGTGTTAATGGCAGCACTGTGAGTGGCATTAAAGAAAACGAATGCAGCCCCCACATCTAAGGACTAGTAGGCTGCAATATGATTTTGTTCCTGGGTTTAGATAACATTTCTAAAGTGACTCCTGGAGAGAGATGGGGGCTGCCATTGCTGTATCTCTATACTTGTTCCAGTTCCGATTTGGACACTATTAAAAACAAAGGGAACGAGCATTCTCTAAAGGTCAGCAGTGGCAGCTTCCATTGTTCTTTCATGACATTCCGTTCAACTTCCTGTTCCAGAGACACAACAGAATGAAAGAGGAAATATCTCTAAAGTTAGGGGAAATCTTCACTTAGACCATTTTAAATATGAACTCTGGGATAAGATGGACAGATATGGTGGACAGATATGGAATCCTAGAGCCAGCCTGTCTAATCCTAGGAGCAGACAAATCTGGAATCCTAGAGCCAGCCTGTCTAATCCTAGGAGCAGACAAATCTGGAATCCTAGAGCCAGCCTGTCTAATCCTAGGAGCGGACAAATCTGGAATCCTAGAGCCGGCCTGTCCAATCCTAGGAGCGGACAAATCTGGAATCCTAGAGCCGGCCTGTCCAATCCTAGGAGCGGACAAATCTGGAATCTTAGGAGCCGGCTCCATAGACCACTACCAGAGAAAACCTTTTAATCTTGGGCATCCGCTGTCATTTTTGGTGAACATTGGCTACCTGGAATTATCCTGCCCTAGTCTACATGAGACGTGTGTTCTGGAATCTTGGTGAGCTTTTTCTTCCTGATCCGTGCAATAATCCAGTCCGGAACTTTGTCTCTGTGCTGGAACATCTTATAATAAAGACTGGTCCCTGCTGCTCTCTCCTTGTGCGGGGTGACTAGTCTTGTGCGTCTTTCTAGTATATTTACTGGTTGATGTATAAATGGTTATGGCTTCATTGTTGACAATAGCTATACTTTGATGCTCATCAGGGCAAGATGTAGACCAAAAAAATCAACTTTGTGCATGAAGAAATGCGCGTCTCTTCCCATTATCCTTTTGAGACCCTGTCGCCAGACGTTCAACAAAAATCTTCCCATAAGATTATATGTACTTTTAATTAGGGATGCTCCGATACAAGCATCGGTATCGGCGGCGATACCGTGTATTTGCATGAGTACTCGTGCAAATACTCCGATACAAAAAACGAGTACCTGTGCCGCGTCCGCCATCTTCAAGGACCCGAAACCGCCGCACACAGGACCTCCATAGCGTCTTCAATGAAACAAGATGGCCGCGAACTCCTCCAAGTCCTCAGTCATCGCTCCATTCTGACCTCTTCTCCCGCTGATTGGATGATTAACAGGCTTCCTCACCAGTCAGGAGTGACTGGTGTAAAACCAGTTAGTGATATGATATTTATGTCCAGCCACTATTGATAGCTGGTTTATCTTTTGGTATATACTGTATTGTTCATTTTGTTTGTTTGTTGATCTGGTTGACAAGTAATTATGAGATAAAGGGTCATTTAAATGGTACGGATCTCCAGGCAGAAACAAAATCGTTTTCTTTTAGTACTGCAGCCCCGCATGGGGGCTGGGCACAAAAATGCTGTTTTTAACTGCATATAATATTTAAAAAAAAGACATTAAATAAAGAAATAACTATGTAGATATTGCTAACTAAGGCTTGTATCCCCTTAGTGGGGAAAATACATGAGCACATGCCCAGACTCCAGACCAGAGCACTGTATAGTGTGGCACAGCTGTATCCAATTCTGCATACCTGGCTTTATATTAAAAAAATTAATAATATAAAGCCAGTTATACAGACTTGGATATAGCTGTGCCACACTATACAGTGTTCTGGAGTCTGGACATGTGCTCCTCTATTTTCCCCACTATGGGGATACAAGCCTTAGTTGGCAATGGCGTGATCAATATTCATTTCATGTTCATGTTTTTCATAATAAGAAACTGACCTAAAATCATGATTTTTGTATTGTTTTAGAAAAAATGTGACCTGTCCCTTCAAGAAAAAGTATTGGTAATTGGTATCGGCGAGTACTTGAAAAAAAGTATCGGTACTCCGGTCTTAAAGTGGTATCGGAGCATCCCTACTTTTAATGTATTTTATGGATGTTCTTTACCTATAGAAGCCTCCATTGTGTAGACATCCAAATGCCTTGAGACGGCTGTTGGGTGCCGCCATCTTGGATATGATGTCGTCAGACTTTGAGCTGTCACTCCTACGCATGTTCTTTTCTCCTATAGTGTTCACCCCTCCTCATGACCTTTTTGTAGCTTCCAGTGGAGGAGCTGGTTCAGGACAGTTGGACCTTCCCAGAATAGGAGGAGCTATGACTAGTAAGGGGCTGTGCTAGGGAATTGACTCCTGCAGCAGTCAAACTTTGTAATGCGTTAAGACTCACTGCAAGTGAATCATTAATGGTAAGGCAAAACACTGTTTTTAGTATGCATTTAAAATGCCTCCTCTCCTCCACATCTTCCAGTGTTCTTTCTGATGGGAAACTGAGGGTAGAAGTTGGGGAGCTACATTTCCAGAGATGGTTTTTAAAGTCTCCATCTCCACAGCTGTCGTCCTGATCCTGGCTTCACTGACTGGGTGCCTGTTCCAGGTCAATGGTAGAAAAGCCTGATGATCCTTTTTGAAGTCTGCATGTAGTCAGTAGGCGGCTTTAAGACATATGGGAGCTGCCTATGCTGATTGTGTTTATTGAAGATGTGATCTTTTTCTTTTATTACCGAATGAGTCACTGAGGTGTGTGTTCATTTCTGGTGTCCTCACACTTCATTGATTGGCTTGTTCTGGTCAGTGACCCTGTAAGTAGTTTGAGGATGATGGCCCTGAAGATGGAAACCTCAAAAATTGGGCAGTGTCAGCGCCTTTCTATTCGGATTGGTTTCCTTTTTAGAGCGATACTAATCTCAGGAGTCGCATCTTAAAAATTCATTCAAGAACCTTAACTATTAACAAAAATGTATCTTTGTGTATCGGCTGTAGAGCCTCAAATCATCTCTGAATTGGTGCTGACACTGTCCTTCCTTCTGGAGGGGGGCTACTTTTGTTCCCCATGGTCCCTGTGCGTGTTGTAAAGTAGTCCCCGCTCCAAGCTTCCTCTTGTGATGGACTACAATCTCATGTTTAGTTTACTAATTTGTATTGTGATTGTAGTCCATCACAGGAGTGAGCTTGGAGCGGTGACTACGTTACAAAACACACACTGACCATGGGGAAGAAGAGTAGCCACCCTCCAGAAGGACAGTGTCAGCACCAATTCAGAGATGATTTGACGATCTACAGCCGAGTGATACACATATAAGAGACATTTTTGTTAATGGAGTACAGGAATGTATTTTTAAGATTTAACTCGAGTTAAGTGTCCCTTTTTTTTAAACGTGCCCGAACTAAACGGAAAAGCCAGATCGCCCCTATCCCATAAACCTTGTGATAGGCGATCCTTTGCTGTGTAAAGAATGTGTAGATATAAATAACATGGAATGTTTGTGAATTTGATTTTGTGGAAGTTTACTTTTCCCTTTCCCGCATATCTACCCTGTTTCCCCGAAAATAAGACCTACCGGTAGTTTGACCATTCCTAGGGCCGGTGGTGGCATAAGGGGGAACTTGAAGAGCCGCGGGAGAGAATCAGCAGTGCCAGCGCTAGAGGAAGCGAGGCGGCAGCGGAGGGAGCAGAGCCGCATAAGCCGATGCCTCCTCTATAGCGCCGGCTTCTGTCACAGACGGAGTGATGCCAAATGTGCTCCGCCTGTAAGGAATCGATAGTAGAAGTGCGCTTCGCTCATTCTGGCCAGCGATTGGTTAGCAAATTGCTCTTGGAAAGGTATGGCGCCCCTGATTGCCCTGATCACCATATTTTTGTACATGAATTCCATGTGCACCTTACGTTTAAAGCTGGTTATGAATCGATAGTTTTGCCATTTGTTTCACTTGTTGGATTTGGTGCGGGGACATGTTGGGGGCTTCAGCTGCCATTGTGATGTGCGGGGCCTCTGCGGTGTCCCTGTGCCTGCTATTGGGCTGCCTCCTGTTGAACCTGCACCCAATTCATCCTTTGCTGCATGTGCTCCAAGATGGCGGCTCTCATGGATTGGTCCTAACGTTACACTACACAGAGGGGCCTGGACAAGGCAGTGCAGCTTCCAAATATTCTGCAAAAGTTGTGCAACTAAAACCTCTGTTTACCCCAAATGTCAGACGGTGTACTTTTTTTTGTAGGCTGTCGGGTGAGTGTGCTGGGAAATGTTTGCCCTTGTACTGTGTAAAGCCTGTCCATGTGCACCTTGCTACAAAACCCAGTTATGACTTGATCATTGTTTTGCCATTTGTTTCACTTGTTTAAAGAACCCATTCCCCCGGTATCTAGAACCGTGCATATGTTTGGAGATAATCTTATGATGCCAGGCTTTTCTGACTTTTGATAACTGAATTTAAATTGAATGCCGTTATTAAGGTCCAGGTTCTTATTCTCTGTCCTTGTGTCTGCAGCCTCAGATAACAGCCAGCGATTTCAAGAAACATGCTTCGCGTTTGCATTAACACCACAACAAGTCCAGCAAATCAGCAGCTCAATGTAAGTCTCTCTCTACCCTTCTCCCCCCCTTCTTCCAGCGTTCTCTCCCATCCCCCACCTCACGCCTCTCACTTGGCAACTATACTCAGCCTATTGAAATCTCAGCTTGATGGGGGCTAGAGTTACATCTGTGGCTGATAGTGAATTGAGAATTGCATTGGCAAAGAGTTTGAAGTGGGTGATCCTGGACTGTTAGCAGCCAGTTCTGTTTTACTTAACTCTTGGCAGCATTTCATTTCTTTTTTTTTTTTCCTTGCACATAAATCAACCAAACAGGAAAATGTGCTCCGTATCCTCCTAACAAGTTATTCATTCTGTAAATGCAGACTGGTGATCTTCATGGAGTTATGTGGGTGTAGTTAGTTATTAGCAATGCATTCATCTGTCACCAAAGGCATAACTGGATGCTGAAGGGTCCCATTGCAGTGTCAGGGGCCCCTCCTGCAACCTTCCACTGTCCCTCTATGCCCCAGGGATGCTCATGTCTAAGGAAATGGGATTGTTTGTTCAGTAAGAGCAGAGGGATCTGTCAATTGGCTCAATAATGAAGCCTGGAAAGTGACACTGGACTCAGGAGTTAAATCTTAAAAATGTATTAAAGTACCCTAACTACTAACAAAAATGTATCTTATTTGTGAATCACTCGGCTGTAGATCCTGGTTGGTTCCTAAATTTGTCTACAAATGTGGAAATACTTTAACATTGTATAATGCATGTGTTGTCTTGAGCATAAGTGTCCTTCTGTTCCTCTTTTAGAAGTCAATCAACTTTATATAACTAGGACAATAAGCAGGGGTGTACACTGAGTTGGGCTATGGAGAAAACCTTTTAAAAATAAATATATGTAATCTCTTAACCTCTGCTTGTGCAAAGTTGTGGGATCTGTTTAGTCATTGCTTTTGTCTGTTTTGCTTTCCAGGGATATCTCCGGAACAAAATGTGATTTTACAGTTCAAGTGCAGCTCAGGTTCGTAATGTTGTGTTCTTTGGTTTTTATTTATTTTTCTAGGCTTGTGTGTAGATTCCTAATCATGATTTTTGTTTTTCTCAGGTTCTGCCTTTCAGAAACCAGTTGCCCCCAAGAAGACCATTTCCCACCAAACCTGTGTGTAAAAGTAAATGGGAAACCCTGTAATTTGCCAGTAAGTATACTATTTCCAGTTCCTTTTTGATATTTTCCATTTGTTCAAAATAAGTCTCATTTACTATGCTTGGGTATTATGTGTGACCTGTCACAAATTCCTTAGCTCTTACCATGGAGCGTTTATATAATTCTTTATTCTTACAGGGTTACCTTCCACCAACCAAAAATGGGGTTGAACCAAAGCGACCAAGCCGACCAATCAATATTACCTCACTTGTACGTCTATCCACAACGGTTCCGAACACCATTGTTGTGTCGTGGACGGCGGAAATTGGACGTGTAAGTATGGCATTTGATAGTTTTACCGTGTCACAGATGTGTTTTCATAGAATACTTGGACAGTAACCACAAAAGCTATTTTATTATTGGCACTTAAATCTGACCTCCCCAGTCATTGACTCTACAAACCAGCAAAGGGAACCTAATTATAATCTGCAGTTTTCTCCATAGAGGACCATTTTGATATGTGTGATATGAAGTGTTGTATAACCCTTCATTGGTATCTAGTATCAGTGTTCTCTGTGGAAGCAAATGATTACCATAGTGCCACTCCCACTTTGTGGGCTTAGAATATTGCTCTGATCAGGTAAGATGTTATGCATGTTTCTAAAGCTGCCCTGTGTTTTTGTTTTGTTTTTTCTTCGAAGTGCTCCAGCAAGTAGAGGGGATTCTCACCTCTGCTGTCAGCCTCTGAGTGCCATTAAGATGAAGAATAGTTGTGTTTTGTCTCTAACCTGGCACCTGTAGGTCGCGTGCTAACTGGCTTCATGTGTCTCTACTCTGCCCAATGACTACTGCTGTTTTTTTTACTCTTGTTACGGTTTAATTCTCATGTCTTCTACATGTTCACATACCCTACTTTGCTCGCGCCATTCAACACTGACAACCCTTCAAAACACCCTTATTGTAAACCTTTAATTATAGAAATATAGGGTCCGCCATTGCTAACCTCTGGCTATTACAATGATCCCTTGTTTCAGTAATTTCTAAGACACTGACCCAGCGTAAGTTTGCAGATTAGTAATTTTGAGAGAGACACAGTCCTTCATTGACCTGGCACAAACAGGCAAAATAATACCAGTTGAAGTACAGCGGAGGGGGTCAGGATGACTGTCGGGCAGTTGGTCTTTTCAATAGGAGGGATTAGCGGTGGCAATCTTCACTTCATGATTTGGATTCCTTTTAACTCCACTTTCTAGACTAGCATATAAACTGTTCTAATAGTCTGTTCAGATACGAATCTGTCTGACAAGCTGTACATTGTCTTAAATATAGTTTACCCCTCCTTTTGGTGTACCTATCCAAGAAAAAATTATTTTACTCATTGATTGAAGGGCACATGAATCAGTTATTTAGAGACAATTCGGAATATACTGCCACCTTTTAATAGGATTTGGACACTGGCAAACAAATACCTTTTTGGCCAGTCAGGTTTTTTTTTCTCTCCATTGAAGACTTCATCTACCTGCTAATAAGTTGAGCTCTTTATGCAGCTCTCTGAATTGGCATATCAGCAATAGCTTTGGAGGCCACACCTGGGGCCTGCTGGACTGAAGACTGTGGGGCCTGCTTGGGCACAGGGCTCTGCTTGTAGAATTTTCCAGACCTTTAGGCCTGGTTCACACCTGACCGTTTTGTAGCGCGTCCTACGCTCGATGAACGCTCTACAAAACGGTCAAAAAAATAAATAGCACTATAGTCAATGGCCTCGTTCCCACCTGTCCGTATTTCCGCCCGTCCCGAACGCACTACAAAACGGCCCACGCATGAAAAGGTCCCGGAGCGTTTTTTGCTGCGTATTGGTCCGTTTTGTAGGGCGTTTTCCATTAGTATACTGCCAAGTAGCCTTTGGAATCGCGCGACGGTCGCGCGGCTTTTTTACCGCGAATCGCGGTAAAAAAACCGCGTGATGGTCGCACGACAGACGCGCATATTACAATACGCATAGGTGTGAATGGGGCCTTAATGTTATGGGCTCTGCTTGTGGTGCTTTTTTTCTGACCTTTTGTGTACTATTGGTTAACCACAGATTGCTGTCCAGGTCCAGAGCTGTGGCACAGCCTCTGGTGTGACCCGGAAGACTTTAATGAGTAGGCCATGTGGGCCAGGCTTCTAGAGCTACTATGTTTATTGGTACCATTGAGCGCCATTATTGCACACCCTTTTCCATTTGGTTTCCTCAGTAACTGGAGGGTCGTGAGCAGTACTACAAGCTCTGTTCCTCCCTGTTCAGTGTGAGGTGGCTGTTTTCCCTCCCATTTGCGGTTCTCCCTTGGTTGGTTCCTGCTTCTACCCTACAGAAGTTCTTTGCAGTATTGCTTGGTTCTATGGACCAAATAATATGATTTGCTGACTTGGATCAAATAATAAGCATACTTTTATACCTTCTTCAGAATCTCTCAGGTATACCTGTTGATGGGGTTTTATCTGACAAATCTAACATTGATAGAGGAATTTGTTCCTCAGGAGCAGCTGCCACAGCTCCCCGGTTTAAAGATGCAATTTTAGTTCTCAATGTGGTGCACACCATCTGCAAATTAGAACAGCCTGTAGTTATTACTGGTGCGGTTACTAGTCTGAGATCCCTGAAAGGCCCCAGGACTATCCAAACATTTCTGGTACACCCCTTACTTGAGCCTCTTCTGTATGGTGTCTGGGAAAACTGATTAAACAATTCACTCCAAAATGCTTTACAGACCAGCATATTTTTAAGGCTGCATTTATCTCCCTGTAGATCCAGAGATACCTTGTGTTGATAAAACGCGGACCATACCCGTTGAGGATTCCATTGACAATCGTTTCTAAACCTTTTCCAAAGCATTTTTTTTCTACTCTAGCAGATTCTGCTATGTAAATAGCCATTGCTCTAATTTCTGTATGTCCATATCTATACAGATCTCAAATTATCCAGCTACTATCCTTACTGACATGATACTTGTAAAAGCGCTTAGATTTTATGCCTACATCCCTACACTGTTGTGTTGACAAATTGGTCAACATTGTGTAGCTTTCAAAAATGAATCATCTGTGACGTTGCGGAGAGCTTTTTTAAATGTTGGTATGCTGAAAAGCAATGGTTACACCTTCTTTTGATGGTGAGCATCTTTTTATTGGGTCCCTGGACACTTTCATAAAGGATATCACTAGCGGCAAATGTTTTTAATTTGCTCCAGTAAAAGAAACATAAGCCCCAAACAGGAAAGACTCCTTCCACCGGAGACCAAGGAGGATGGCTTTTGTTACTCCTAGGCTTCAACCTTCAAGGCCAGACCTATTTTACCTGCTCTGGATCTGCAAACGCATCAAAAACGCATGCAAATGCCTGGAAACCCATTTTAAACTTTAAAAAAAAATAATCTATATATATATATAATTTTTTTTTTAGCCAAAAACTAGCGTGCGTTTGCAGAAACCTGACCGGATCTGCTCTGCATTTGGTGTGAACAAGGCCTTAATGTCTTCATTCAAGTTCAAAATGTTTTGCGTGGACTCCACTTGGTCTGTCGTAGCCTTCCCGTATTAGGGAGACTTTCTAGTCTCTGTGGACATCAAGGATGCAAGCTTGAATGTCTGTTTTTGCTTTGAGCACACAACACTACCAATTTGTAGCTCTGCCATTTGGTCTGACTTCGGCCCCCTGAAGTTACTATCCAGGGACAAATCTCTGTGTTCAGGCCTCATCTGATGCCAGCTTCTTGTATAAGGTCCTTGGGTAGCCCTGAGTTGCAGGCTGCCCAAAGTTTATGCCTGGCTGCCAGTGGGATTTTTTGTTTGCCAGTGTCGGTCTCTTCCTGAAGATGGCAATATAACCCAATTGTCTTTAAAGTACAAATATCCTGTTTTTATATTGCAGCTGACCGGTCCTTTCATGTGGTGGCTGCACTACTATTTTTCTCTGTTCAATTCCACCTTCCCTCCCCTTGTTTACTTCATGATTTGTGACCGCATCTCTTCCTGCCTTAGTGACAATGGTCTGTATCTGTGGAGGAGCAGCAATGTTGTCACCCTAGGACAGGAAGTCTGACTACAGATCACCTCTAAATCTAAAACCCAGGAAATTATTTCTATTTTTTTACACTTGTATTGATGGTATATTATATCAAACGGAAACAAATGAGAGGAATTCATTGTTCGTTTGCATATACTTTAACGCATTTCTTCTCGGTTATCTAGCGTGTAATCTTGAAGGGTCAGTTCTAGAGCTGCAGCTAACGATTATTTTCAAAATCGATTAGTTAGCCGATTATTAAGTTCGATTAATCGGTTAATCGGATAAACAATAAAATAAATGTTAAAAAATGTCTCCAGTGATGGACTACTAGTTTGTATTGAGATTGCACTCCATCACTGGAGCGAGCTTGGAGCGGTGGAATTAAAAAAAAAAGAAAAAAAAAAGTGTGGTGTGCAATATAGTGAAATGGAAAGTGTAAATTTATACAGCAATCAATGCAGAATGGCACTGGCTATAGAGGACTACAAATCCCAGCAATAGTACAATATGCAGAATATCACCAGCTATAGAGGAGCACAATAAATCCCAGCAATAGAACATTATAGCTGGCGGTATTCTGCATTGCGCTGTATAATGTACTGTTGCTGGGTTTTGTAGTCCTCTATAGCCAGTGGTATTCGGCATTGCACCACTGTATAATGTATTATTGCTAGGATTTGTTGTGCTCCTCTATAGCTGGTGGAATTCCGCATGGCGCTGTATAATGTATTATTGCTGGGATTTGTAGTCCTCCGTACAGCGCAGTGCAGAATATCACCAACTATAAAGGAGTACAACAAATCTCAGCAATACATTATACATGCAGTGTTCAATGTATTGCTGGGATTTGTATTCCTCTATAGCTGATGGTAAAATGCTCTACGTAATATACAGCACAACGTACCATCAGCTATAGAGGAATACAAATCCCAGCAATACATGATAGAGCACCATGTGTGGGAGTGTGCAGGCTTACCTGAGCAGTCTTCCAGCAACTTGCTTCTGAGATCGGGCCTGTCTATCGGCGGCTGTCATCCCCTCACACCTGCTCCTCCTTACTACATCTCCCCGCGTCCCTGTGCCGATCGTGGA